CTGCTTACTTCCCCCACTACCTTTCAAAAGAGTGAAATAATCTGGAACAAAGACTATACGGTAGCGAAGGGGCTCGATATATACCTTAGGGTTTATGGGGGGCTCTGTCCATAACTCATCTTGCTAGAAGATGACAACCAGGAAAAATGTCAAATAGGCACGTATGTCGGAAATATGACCTTAAGAATATCTACTCCATGGGAACAGCCGATGCCCACAATGTGGAATGAGGCTTACAGAGCCTCCGGTGGAAGTTAAATATTAAAGATCCAAGCCTTTGTTTCCTTAACAAGGAATTTGTTGTTCAAAGAAAGCCTGCTTCTGACTTCAATTCAATACCATAAAGCTAAACACTCTGCTGATGGTGGCGGCAGTGACAGCAGCGTTGCATAACCGTTGGGTAAGTCCAGAGCTGGCAGCCCCGAGGGACGGTGACCGCCCAACGGTGCACACAGACCCACTTCCATTAAATGAGCAAGGCTGAGCTAGTTTTCTGCATAACTGATGTGAGGAATTATCAAAGCTGTTAGAGATGCATTCTGTACCACGTCAAACCAAAACGGGCTTCTACACTGTAAAGACGACTGAAGACTTTTTTTTTTTTGTAATCTTAACATTGGTGGATTTTTTATTGAAGTATAACATAATGACCTACAAACACAAAAGGGTATAAACCCTCTAAGTACACAGCCTGAAATATTAACCCAAAGTGGGCGCACTGTGCTAGTCAGCATCCAGGTCAAGAATACCTCATTTTTAAACTATGCACATGTATTACTAGATAAATATTTAAAATAATAATAACTTATCAGGAAGGATAAAATGCTTGAGTCAAATACCACTGTGATGTGGAGCAGCGCCGTCTGATACGGTATCCTCTAGCTACCTGACTTCTGAGTACTTGAAATGTGGCAGGTGCCGACTCAGGAACTGAATTTTTTTTTTTTAATTATGTATTTTGTTGTTGTTGTTGAGAATATACACAGCAAAACATGCACCAATTCAACAGTTTCTACATGCGCGATTCGGGACACTGCTTACGTTCTTCGAGTTGTGTGGACTATTCCCACCCTTTTCCCCTCATTGCACACTTTCCTCTTTTGGGGACTGGACTTTGCATTTACAGACACTGAGGCATGTTTACACTTGGAGATTTACACTTGTACTTTTTTCCCCTCAATTTTCTTTTTAAATTGTGCTTTAGGTGAAGGTTTACAGGGCAAATTAGTTTCTCAGTAAACAATTAACATACATATTGTTTTGTGACATTGGTTGCCAACCCCATGACGTGTCAACACTCTCCCCTTCTCGACTTTGGGTTCCCCATTTCCACTGGTCCAGCATTCCTGTCCCCGCCTGCCTTCTCGTCCTTGCCCCTGGGCTGGTGTGCCCATTTAGTCTCGTATACGTGGTTGAACTACGTTACTGTTTGTTTTATAGGCCTGTCTAATCTTTCGCTGAAGGGTGAACCTCAGGAGTGACTTGAGTACTGCGTTAAAAGGGTGTCCGGGGGGCCACACTCTTGGGGTTTCTCCAGCCTGTCAGACCAGTAAGTCTGGTCTTTATTTGTGAGTTAGAATTTTGTTCTACATTTTTCTCCAGCTCTCTCTGAGACCCTCCATTGTGATCCCTGTCAGAGCAGTTGGTGGTGGTAGCTGGGCACCATCCAGTTGTGGCGAACTCCGTCTGCTGGACGTTCACCCTCTTCTGAGCTGTTCCTCCCCCATAAACACCAACTCCCTGCCCCCTAAGGTTCCTACCTAGCCTCTCCGGTTGCTGTCGTCAGTGTGATCCCATAGAGACAGATCTTAAAAGAGCACAGTGCTCAAGGCAGACAGTCTTTACTAGTCAAGCTAAACTCTTGCTTGGTTTTAAGAAGACTTCAGGGGATACTTCTGGTTTAAAGTTTAAAGATTATCTCAGGGCAATAGTTTTGGGATAGTTTTCTTGATTTTTTAAGTAAAGCTTTACATGAGACACATCTACTCTTTGTCGAAATAACAAGTAAGTAGAGGGCACCCCCCTCAAGGAGCCGGTCTAGAGGTGGAAGCAGGCAAGAAAACAATCACAGAACGACGGGGTGAGCTCTGATGGAGACCCGGAGACCCCAGGAGAGAACAGTCAACAGCGGAGGGCTTGGCCCTGAGACAGGCGGACATTTCTGGCCTCCAGCTTCATCAGCAAGGCCAATGGCAGAAGGTCTTCATGGTGTGAAGGTGGGGTGTCCTGGGAACTTTACTTGTCAAATTCAAATGTCTTTCTTCCACGCCACTTACCTCAGGACAGAGTTTTTCGGTGGCGCAAATGGTTAAGTTTTTCAGTTGCTAACAGAAAGGCTGGAAGTTGGAGTCCACCCAGAGGTGCCACAGAAGAAAGGCCTGGCAATCTACATCTGAAAAATCGGCCACTGAAAACCCTGTGGAGCACAAGTTTACTCTTGACACACATGAGGTCACCATGAGTCAAAATCTACTCCACAGCACCTTGTTTTAAGCCACTGCAATAGGCTCCAAGTCTCTGGCTGGTGCAAAGGGTTAATGTGCTTGGCTGCTCACCAAACAGCTGGAGGTGGAGCACAGTTCTACTCTGACACACACGGGGTCGCCATGAGTCGGAGTCAACGCGAGGGCAAGTGGATTTTTGCCTCCTCGGGACATCAGAGACGAGCATGAGCCTTTTACAGTCACCCAGGGAGAGGTGATTCTCACCCTATGCACAGATCTAGGACCCTCTTCTAACGGAAACCATTCTATTAGTGGGAAAAACGGTCCTTAAAAGACGAAAGAGTGAGCTACCGACACTACTGAGCGAAAGCTAGAGCCTCACACTCGCCTGCGAGCTCCTACAAGGCATGGCCGCCGGCGCCCTCCAGCCGAGCTCACACACCCTCCTCCTCTCTCCATGTGCTGGCTGTGCTGCCGGCCGTTCCCTCTGCCTGGAATGTTGTTCCCGCCTGTCACATGGCTTACTCTCTCACCTCCATGAAAACAAGCTGCCGTCCAGTTGACTCTGACTCATGGTGACCCCGTGAAGAACTGTGCTCCATGGGGTTTTCAATGGCTGATTTTTCAGAAGTAGATCACCAGGTCTTTCTTCAGAGGAGCCCCTGGGTGGACTCGAACCTCTGACCTTCGGGTTAGCAGCCGAGCGTGTTAACCATCTGCGCCACCCAGAGGTACCTCACTTCCATGAGGGTTTTGCTAAAGGCCTCCTCCCGGGGCGTTTCCTGACCACCCAATCCGGAATCGCAATCCCAGGCCTGCCTGGGCGCACCTTCCTGGCCCCGTGTTGCCTCTTCTCTGTAGCACGCGCCATCTGCTATGCCAGGTATTCTGCTGATTTATTTTGTCCCCACCCCCCCCCCGCCCACTAGAAGGTGCGTTCCATGGGGGCAGGGAGTCGTGTCTTGCTCCCTGAGCAGTCCCTGAGCGATGCAAACAGTGAATGCGCTCGGCTGCTAATCAAAAGGTCGGAGGTTCGAATCTACCCAAAGACATCTCGGAAGACCTGGTGATCTACTTCTGGAAAATCAGCCATTGAAAACCCTACGGAGCACAGTTCTACTCTGACACGTGGGGTCGCCATAAGCTGGAATCAATCCCAAGGCAACCCGTGACTGGCGGCAGCCTGTGGTTACCACAGCGCCTAGCCAGCAGTGAGTTTTCAGTTAAAGTATTTGTTTAAGCTGCTAGAAAATTGTCAACCAGGCTCATAAACCAGAGAATATTCAGTACGCTAGGGAAAATGACACTTCCCGAATTGTAACTTTTTCCAATTCTACAGCACTTTCCTAACGGATAACAATCAGCAATGTACACCGTACTGGCTCGCAGGGAAACTAGAGTACTGGAAACAGAACAGAACGCAATGAAAACCAACACTGACATACTGTGAAAAACGTAACTAATGTCACTGAACAGTTTGTGTAGAAACTGTCAAATGGGAACTATTATTAAAACAATAAACCATAGTGGCTTTACACAAACATTCTTCAGTCCTGATGCGTAACTTTCAATTTCAAGAACAAGCTGTGTTCTTCTGGCCAGAGATGTCTCTACACCCTGAACACACTGGCTTCTAGGACTTCTCGTTCTCAGGAGCGTTGTGAATTCCTTACGGAAGAAAATCACTCGCAGTGAGCTGCCACCCAGTGTGCAGCCCGTGGCAGGCTCTGGGCCTGGCTCAGCTTGTCCGTTACAGGGTACACAGCCCAGGAATGTCCACACTGGGACTCCCTGACATTCCTAAGCCGAGCCCAGCCCTGCTGATTCGCCTTCTGCATAACTCGCTGGTGAAATAAGGTGCTGGCTAAGTGACAGAAGGAAAACCTTGGCTCCACGCTCCAGAGAACGCGGTCTGGTGGAGGACTGCACCCTCTAGCGGACAAGAGAAGTTCACAATCCTGACTCGCTAAAAACTGCTCTTTGGGTTTTTACTTTTCCTAGCGCAGGCTTTTGGGGTCGCTTCTTAAAGACCACACACCGCTACCTCCCTGGCTACTAAGTGCCGTCTCTTTGAAAGACTGGGCTCCCGCCACGGCAGGCCCGTTGGACAAGACCCTAAGGACGAAACTCATAAACACTAAGCCGCCCATGATACGCCCAGCCTATTTTAAACGTTTGTTCTTTGGGCTTTTTAAAATTGTTGGTCCATTTGTGGGTGTATCTGCTCTTTTAGAACAAACTTCTGGAGGGCGGGGTGAGTCTAACTTTCCATTTAGGGCAGAGTCCCGGGGGCCCGTGAATTCAATGCCCACGTGAGGACAGGCAGCTCAAAGACCCAGCTGGCTGGTAAGCGAGCCGGTGCCCGGGGCAGCCTTGGAGTCCAGCGCCCAGGCCAGAGTTGGAACTGAAGAACAGAGCAGAGGACAGCTGGGAGCCTCCAGGAAGCCACACTCAAGGTCTGGCGTCAGACACACGAGGAGCCAAGTCTCCTCCCGGATTCTCGGCTTCCCTCCCGTCACCTCCAGGCGCCCAGCACCTGGCGGTCACTCACGCCTGTGGATGTGTAGGGGAACTAAAGATGAAGACGTCTGTCTTGGGGTGCTGTCACGGGGAAAGGGGAAGGGGTTACCTGTTAGGAATCCACGCGTGGCCTGCGATCCCGCAGACTGAAGCCAGAGTGACGAGGAGCAGGCTAACTGAGGAGGGGGAGCTCTCTCAGCCCCCAGCCTTAGGAGAATCCCGCTCACCCTGTCCTCACTTCCCTACTCTCGACCGACTCTTCCGGGCCTAAGGAATCCCAGGCCAAGCCGAGTGGACTCCCGGGGCCACTCACCACCCTCTTTGGGTTGACGGGAGTCAAGAGTGCACAGAGGAAGCCCTCTTGAATTACAAGCGGCTCCGTCAACATGAACTGTATTCAGTTTCCAAGCTACAGATTCTGCAGCTTAGAGGGGGCTGGGATCAGACCCAACCGAACCAGCTCCCTGATGCACTTGGCGGACAGGAAACCACGTAGGTCCTGGAGAACATGTGAACCGAGGACAGACAGACACGGCACTGACTGGCCCGCAGTCACGCCAAGGAAGCAGCTCACGTGACGCACGCAGGAAAAATGAGGAACCGAGGATCAAAACTCTTTATTCCAGGAACATCAACATACAGTTTTTTTCCCAGCATAAACCACACCTTCACACGATGTAGTAACATAGGCAACACACCTTCCCCTTCGGGACAAGTCGTCACGGGGCTGGAGGCAGCCGTTACTCCCACCTCTGCCCCAACGTGCACTGCTCCCTCACATGCTATCACACAGACACACCTGCCTGCTGCAGACAGCACCTGTTAGGACCCCAGAACTCTCCCCCGCTGCAGCAGCCTACAGAATCTCACAGCTCAAAACACCGGGAACATTCTCTGAAAATCAGAGGAAACGCATCAATGACGATAATGGTGACACGGCTAATGTCTAAAGCACTTCCTGGGCCCCAGGGCTGCCCTGAGCCTGTGACGGGGACCTACTTAGTCCTCACAAGGACCAACAGGAAATGACCTGCCCAAGGTCACACAGCAGGAAGTGGTGGACTGGGACTTGAAATGGAGCACTAGCTCTCCAGCAGTGGGGCTCACACACTTCTGCCTGTGAGGGCTGAGGATGAGCAAGGTGCTGATCTCTGGACCTGAGGTGCCCTGAGCTTCTGAAACCCCGTGGTGGCTGTGAGGGCTAACGCGGTATCAACCTGGCTAGGCCACGGTTTCCAGTGGTTTGCCAAACGCTCGTCTAGTTCCTGTCACAGAGTAGTTCATGGGATTCTATCAGTCAGCCTGAAACCCGTTCCAACTCACAGCAACCCTGTAGGACAGTGAAGATCTGCCCCATCAGGGCTTCCAAGCTGTCATCTTTACGGAAGCAGACTGTCGCATCTTTTTCCCACAAAGCGGCAGTTGGGTTCAAACCAGTGGCCTTTCAGTGAGCAGCCAAGCGCTTAACCCCTGTGCCACCAGGGCTCCTCCAGTTGGCCTTGGGCCAAGCCGATTACTTCCAGTTAGGGCCGTACCAGTGTAGGGCAGATCCTACACCTGATCCCGCCTGAGTTACATAAAGAGCAGCACAGACACACACACCAGGGAAGACAGACGGCACGTGAGGTTCGTCTACAAGCACAGGAACTCGGACGCTGGCCACCGTCACCAGAACCGAGAGGCCCACAGGAGTGGACCCAGCTGGGACCCCGACGTGGGCTCTTAGCCTCCAGAACCGTGAGACACTAAGTTTCTGTCCTCTCAAGGCGGCTGCATCAGGCGCGTCCCAGCAGCACCGGGAGAGGAAGCTGGTGGTGGGGCCTCCCTGCCCCGGGGTTCATTCAGATGACTGGCCCACTACCACGAAGCCCACATTCCTGGCTTTCAGCGAACACTGGCGGGCCAGACCCTCCCGGAAGGTGAACCACACAAGATGAGGGTCGGGCGAGGGACTGTTAAGTCCAAGGCGTCAACAAGTACATCCAGAAATATGAGTACAAGGAGGCACAGGCATGGCCAAGTCCACAGTAAGATAAGCCCGACACCGCGTTAAAGATTTATCAGAACGTCCGCGTTACGAAGACAGCGTGAACCAGGCAGGTGCGCGCAGCCACGTGCAGAAGCGCCGCAAATGTAATGGCTCTAAACCAGACCAGTGGGGGCGCGGCCAGCTCCACATCCCCCGTGTTGTCTTCCCACGATGCTGCAGTGTGCGATGTGGTTTTCCAAAATGGTAACTAACTGTGGTAAACTGTTCAGGACCACAGTTCCATCTTCTCCCAACTTTCTGGAGGGACCACATGCCTGACAGCCCAGTTATGTCGCCGCTGTCAGGCGCCATTGGTCCATTCTGACGCACAGCTGCCCCATGTGGCGGGGCAGAACCACCCTACAGGGCTTCCCAGGCTGTTGTCTTTACGGGAGCAGATTGCCAGGACTTTTCTCCTGCTGGCTAGGTTTCTAGGCTGCTTGTGGAATTAAAAAAAAAAATTTTTTTATTTATTTGCTTGGGCTCCTTTTAGCATAACAAACCTGTGCAAAAAATAGTTTGTGTTCATAATAGCTGGGCCTAGAACCTACCTGTTTCACGTATCTAAATGGTGAAACACCTCCGGGGTCTTAAAAGCTAGCAAGTGGCCATCTAAGATGCATCAATTGGTCCCAACCACCTGGAGTAAAGGAAAACAAAGAATACCAAAGACACAGGAAAGTATTAGCCCAAGAGACAGAATGGACCACATAAACCAGAGACTTTATCAGCCTGAGACCAGAAGAACTAGATGGTGCCCGGCTACAACCAATCACCGCCCTGATGGAGCAGGAGAAAAGTGGGGTACAGAACTCAAATTCTAGTAAAAAGACAAAACTTAGTGGTCTGATTGAGACTGGAGGGACCCTCGAAGCCATGGACCCTGGACGCTCTATTAACCCAGAACTAAAACCATTCCTGAAGCCCACTCTTCCGACTGAACTAGAAAACATAAGACAATACTCGTGAGGAGTGTGCTTCTTAGTTCAAGCAGAAATCATGGGACCAAATGGGCATCTCCTGTTGGGAGGCAGGATGAGAAGGCAGGAAGGGACAGGAGCCAGATGGAGGGCCACGGGAAACCCAGGGTGGAAAGGGGGAGTGTGCTGTCACATTATAGGGATTGCAATTAGTGTCACATAACAATGTGTGTATAGATTTTTGTATGACAAATTAACTTGAGCTGTAAACTTTCCCCTAAAGCACAATTTAAAAAAAAAAAAAGGTGAAACATTGAAAAGTCAAGCAGGTCGGGGGAGAATTCTATTCTCTGATGTGAAGGACTGCCCGCGCATATTCACAGTGACATCCGGGGTGCCGGCCCCACCACCAAACGCCAAGCAGCATCCCCACACGCTCTTCATAGAAACCACCAAGTAAATGAAGTCACCTCGGCATCTGACTCCTTTTAATTACGTCCATACAACACAGTGTCTTTAGCGTTAATCCAAACAAACCCAGAAGCCATAAAATGTGCATTTCGGGCAGACGTGGAGTCAGCTGGTTTTCACCCAGCACACACCCAAATCTTGCAGTAAACTCACCTGCAAAGAAATGATACTTCATCAGTTTTTACTGTACTTCAGCAAGTCTGAACATTCTGGAAGTTAAAACTGCCATGAAATACTCTATATAAAATCCAAAACCTACCTTCTACCCAGAATATGCGAAATGGAGCCCCTGGGGCCAGGCGCGTGGTGAGCCTACTTCTACCGGCCCCCACCCGCTCCGTGCCCACAGGCCCTGGCTGTGGGCTGATCACTGCCATCTTCAAGCACAGCCTCAGTGGCCTCCTAACCCGGTCGCTTCTCTCCCAGCTCACAATCTGCTCACTGCCACCCAGCACGGCACCCTCTCAGGCACAGCTCAGACAGTCTCCCCCTGCCTTCCCCAGAAGCCTGGTGCTAATAAACTCATAATACAACCCAAGCTCTGACATTCAAAGCCGCCTATGACCCAACACCAACCTCTATTTCCTACTTTACTTCCTTTCCCTTTGCTTAGCCACATACATATTTCACAGGCACAGCTCCAACGCACAAGCTCCCACCACATTCGTGCTTCCTGCCTTTTGTCCCAGGTTTCATCAGCCGGGAAGAGCCTTTCCTGCCTTTGACAATCGGGCCCTCAGGGGTGACATGCGCTGACAGATCCCACTGGAAACCCTCCTTCCTGTTATCGAGCTGCGATCGAGTCGACTCCAACGCATGGCGACCCTGCGTGTGTCAGAGTACAACCGTGCTCCAGCGGGTTTCCGACGGCTGATTTTTCAGTACATTGCCAGGCTTCTCTTCCGAGGTGCCTCTGGATGGACCCGAACTTCCAAACTGTTAGCGGCTGAGTGCATTAACTGTTTGCACCACTGAGGGACCCTGCCGTTCCACGGCACTTATTTCACATCTCCCTCTCTCAATGTTGAGCCCTAAATGGCAGGCCCTGCACTTTTCTTTACACCCCCTCCAAAGCCCAGGACACAACGTTCTGACTGCTGTCAAAGGTACTTAAGTGTGCTGAAGACGTCACTGCTCAGGCTGTGTGCCGGCCACAACCCAGCCAGCACAGGGGTGAGAACGCGGCTTGGTGAAGAGGCAGGCCAAACCATAGCCAGGAAGATGAAATTGTAAAATCCCACGAACGGTTACATCAAGACTCAAGACAGCGCTCCGCAAAAACCAACACGAGGGAGGAGACAGCCCAAAGCAGGGGCCACCTCAGCCTTATGTAGAAAGGGACGAGCGCAGGGGACGAAAGGGCACCTGTTGCCATGACTCTCATTAAGGTGTCACCACTGTCCCCGGTACGTTCTAGACCTAGGCTGTCCTGCTCAGTGGCCACCAGCCACAAGTGGCCACTTACATCTAAATTAGTTAAAATTAAAAATTCCTTTTCCCAGTCCCACCAGCCACACTGCAAGTGCCCAACAGCAGCACGCGGTTAGTGGCTATACATTTCCATTAAGTTCTGTTGGACAACACTGTTCTAGACACGCTGCTCTTTTGAAATTAGACTTCAGCACATCGCCCTCGTTTGAAACCTACAACGGGCCTCCCACTGTTCTCAGGACAAAGACCAAAATCCTTACATAGGCCACAAGACCCTGTGTGGTGTGGCCTTCCCCCACCTTTCCAGCTTTGTTCCACACCACTCTCCCCCTTGCTTTCTGGCTACAACGGCCTTCTTTCAGTTCCTCCACCAGCCACACTTGCTAGGCCACGGGGCCTTTGCACAGGCTGCTCCCTGGCCTTCCCAGCAAACTCCCACTCATCCTTCAGAGGCCAGTTCAAAGGTCTCATTCTCACGGAAGCCTTCCAGCTTTGATTAAGCTCTTCTTGACTTATATTCTTTAAGGATTGTTTTCCTTCCTTCAAAACATTCAGTTCAGTTTCAATTCTGCCTTCTTCAGCGTGATCATTTAATACTGGTCTCCCAGATGGGCTGCAGCTCCCTGGGAACAGGACTGTCTTGTTCATCTCTGCATCTCTAGCACTTAGCATGGCACTTGGGAAAACCAACAGTAAGTATTTACTGAAGGAAACAGATTACATCAACAGCGTACACAGATTTTGAAAAATGACCTGCTCCTCAGTACCAATGGCAGAAACTGCCTTGTTCCGGCGCAGGTCCTGTTCGCAGTATCATACATGATCATCAAACTGCTGCTAGAATGTTCACACCTGTTACTGCAAATTCAAAACCCAGGGAAAACTTCTCCTGAGAATTTACTCTAGGTCAGGGTTGGGCTGCCAGGTACCAGGCTGCACCCACAACTGGGCAGGTTCAGCCACACAGGAGCCTCCCCCCAGACCATCTGTCTAGGACACTTAGTCTCCAAGCTCCACATACCTGGATCTCCAAAATAACCACTCAGAAATAATCGCTGCGTGTCTCCATTCAAACGCCACAGGCTGGACGCTCTTGTTTTCTGTGGAAACCCTGGAGATAAAGAGTAATACAGCACACTCCATGGGGGTGAAAGTCTCATCCCATGCTCACCCAGCCCCAGCAACCCGAGCTAACCCAGTCGGGAGCGCCAAGGCTTTCCTGACTGCTGCAGTGCCCCCCTACAACTCCCTTGTCCCACTTCTGGTGTCTGTCTTCTGACCAAGTTTCCTCTGCCTCCTCCCGCCCCAGCCCCAGCTGCTGTGCGAGGTGCGGTCCGGGAAGTCCCGGGCCCCGCGGCGGGGCTTGCGGTCTCCCAGCTCCCAGGATCCACGGAGGAGAGGGAGGGGAAGAGGAAGAGGGTCTCAGGTCTCGGGGGGTCCCAGGATCCACGGCGGGGTGTCTCAGGCCATGATCCATTGGGCGGGGGTTTCAGATCTCTGGGGTCCCGGGACCCGTGGGGAAGGCCTTCGGTCTCTGGGGTCGCGGGACCCTGGCCTGTCTTGTGTGCTTGCCCCCCGCGGGTCCCGACACCCCAGGTATGGTCGGTGGCAGTGGAAGCGGCGGTCAGGACAGCTCCGCGTTCACCCTGCGGGCCAGGGACCGGCGACCGGCTGTCCTAGGACACAACAGAGCACGTGCGACGCCCCCCTCCACCCTCCAAAGCCGAAACAGGGACGCACAAGCACTTCCGGCCGGAAGTGAGGACTCACCATAGAGACGGCAGGTAGAAGGTCGTCTTTGGTCTTGAAACTGGGTCCTCCAAAGCGACCTTAAAGGGGCCGCAGCAGGCGAGATGTGGGTTATTTGTGACTGGGAACCTTCGCAAGAGGGGCAGTTTCCTAAAGCAGGGGCGATGCTACAGGAAGAAGAAGAGAAAGTGGACTGGACAGTCGAAATCTAGAGGAGTCCCTTCCATGCTCCATCTGCGCCCGCCCCCTGGTGGTGGCTCTTGGTGGCGCGGCTGACCACAGGTGGGGGCGGAAATCAGATCCAGGCCTGGCCGGTCCTCCCATGGCGCTTCTTGGTCCCCTGCTCAAAAAGCCCGCGCCTACCTTTGCGCAGGAAAAAGTCCAAACCATCGATGTTCTTCCTCCCTTTCCATTTCTGCTTCATTAGATTAAAAAAATACAACCCATAAATTACACGTTCATCCTAAAGAGTTAAACAATACCTAGGCATCTAGTAAGGAAAGAGTTACTAGTCAATTCCAACTCACGGCGAGCCCGTGTGTTATAGAGAAGAACTGTTTTGGGTTTTCTTGGCTGTAATCTTTAAGGAAGAATATTGCCAGGCCATTCTTCCGCAGCACTGCCAGGTAGGTTCGAACCACCAACATTTAGGTTAGTAGTCCATTTGCATCCGCCAAGGGCCTCTGCTCCAGTCCACCCTGAGATAAACAACAGCTGCCTGTGGGTCCTTCTGCACCTTTCTCCAGGGTCAGGTGCATATATGTGATCCACATGTTTTCACACGTATGCTATTTCAGAATAACTTGGCACGGAGGCCCTCCAGGGTCTGGCTCCCCCGCCCTCAGATTGATCTCTTGTTTCATCACCATGGTCCCCCACACACACCCCAGATGAGGCCTGGTCAACTCTGCCTCCAGACACCCCGTGTGCAGAGACTCCTCTCGGCAACTTTGCCCTTCCAGGCCAGCTCTGGTCCCTGCTGAGTTTGTTCTCCGACCTTCTTTCTCGCCAATCCTCTGTCTTGCTTACCTGACTGTCCTGTGCCACTTTGTGTACTTATTGTTGTTAGCTGCTCTGGATTTGGCCCTGACTCATGGCAACCCTGTGCACAATGAAGCAAAGCGCTGCTCAGTCCTGCATCATCCCCATGATCAGATACAGCTTGGACAGTTATGATCCATAGAGTTTCCATTGGCTGATTTTCAGCAGTAGATAGGCAGGCCTTTCTTCCTAGTCTTAGTCTGGAAGCTCTGCTGAAACCTGTTCAGCATCCTAGCAACACGTGAGCCTCTACTGACAGGCAGTGGCTGCACCTGAGGTGCATTGGCTGGGAATCAAACCCAGGTCTCCCACATGGAAGGCAAGAATTCTACCATTGAGCTGCCACTGTCCTCAGATGTTACTTATTACTTGTTTTATGGGTACATCTGGTGTCCTGTTGAGTGGAACTTTTCTGGTTGCACTGGATTTGGCCCGTCTTTGTAAAGACAGGGGCAAGACATTGTCAGGGTCCTCAGCCTTATGGGGAAGACAAGGTTTGCAACAAGATCCTCTGCCCCTACCCCCACCAAGCCAGGTATAAAGTGTGGTTGTAGTCAGAACCTGTCTAACTGCAGAAGGGGAGAGAATCACCATCAGCGCAAGGCTGATTGATCCCTATGAGGCGGAGGTCAGACCAGCTTCCATTCTCCAACCCCTTTACCAATTCTGACACCAATCGTCCTACCCATGGCACTCTCTACTTCTCTGCTAGCTTTGATAATTTGTTGCAATGGCACACAGAACTCACAGGCCAGACTCACAGTTAAGTGGTTTACTAAGGTAGTAAGAGGGTGCGACTCAGGATCAGGATCAAGAAGCAGGTAGGCAAAGTCTGGAAGGCTCCCCCAAAGTGGAGAGCACATGCCTCCGTTTTTCAGTGGAGGACAGCTCTCTCAGCACCTCTCAGCTGTGCAAGCAAGCAGGCCCTTCTCTCTGCCATGCACACCCCCTCTCAGCCATGCAGGCCTCCTCTTGGCCCTCTCAGGACAGGTTTCATGGCCCTGCATGCTCTCTCTCAGCCGTGCGGGTCTCTCAGCTGTGCACACCTCTCTGTCTTTGGCCTCCCTGCTGTCGAGCCTCTGCACTGCCAACGGACCCAGCTCACAGCCAGTGGAGCAGCTTTGTTCATTTCTCTTAGCTTCATCCCTCCCGGCAGGTTTCTGCCATCACCACCTGCTCTGCCACAGGGTTCCTCCCAAGCCCGTTGCTGCTGGCTCTGCCTCGGCGCTCCTTCTGGGCCTGTTGCCATTTTCAGTGTTACAACCCTTGACTGCGTTCCAGCTTTTAGGAAGTTCCTCACCTCTCCTCTCTCCTTCTGTCTTCTTGCCGCTCTTCTCCTTTTCTTCTTTCTGAAACCTCTGTGGAGTTGGCTGCATATATATAAGCAAATTCTCTGTCAATTTCAAGGCACAGCCCTCCCAGCAGGGCCACAAACTGACCAATTCCCTCAGTGAACAATAGTCACTTCGTTTGCATAGTATATTGACCAATCCCTGCAAGGCGTGTACCAGTCACAGGGCAGGTTGCAGCCCAGGGCTAGACCCAAAAGTGTCAAACCATCAAGTTGACAGCTTACCCAGGAAATGTCAATCAACCTGGACAAAAGTCATAAACCTTCTGGGGTAGAAAACTAGGGCAAAGGTAACTCCTCAGAGTTTAGGGGAAAAATCTCTCGAAGTGTTCTTCCAAAGAACCAAGGCAAAAGACCACACAAAGAAACTCATTTCACCACACCAGGAGACGGGGTGGTACCCCAAGAGACTCCTTCAGAGTTGAGAAGGGGCTGCAGGCGGGGAGATCTTTTTCCTGGCTGACGTTTGCTGAGCTGCAGACCCCGCCAACCCATCTGGGCACTGTCGCCAGAAAGAAGGGGTGAGAGAGTTCTTGAGGGGAGATTGACAGGTGCCCCCAGAAGGTACGGTGTCCTTGAGCTTAGAGCCTGGTGCTCATTCTTGTCTGGGGAATTCTAAGCCCAGAGACTTCTGCAGTCAGCCTCATGTGGAGGCAAAAAGGGGTAGTGGGTCTGGATGAAAAGGATGGGGGCTATAGCTGGCAGAATAATGGCCCCAAAGCTGTCCACATCCTAATCCCTGGAATTTGTACATATGTCACATGACATGAAGGAGATGTGATCAAGTTAAAACAAAAACCAGTTGCCGTCAAGTTGATTCCGACTCATAGCGACCCTATAGGACAGAGTAGCACTGCCCCATGGGGCTTCCAAGGAGTGGCAGGTGGATTTGAACTGCCGACCTTTTGGCTAACAGCCGAGCTCTTAATCACTGCACCACCAGGGGGCCGTGATTAAGTTAAGGACCTTGATATGGGGAGATTGTCCTAGATTATCAGGGTGGGCACAATGCAATCACAAAGGTGCTTATGGAAGGGAGGCAGGAGAAGACAGAGAAGGTGATGTGATAATGGTATCAGAGGGAAAGACTTGAAGATGCCACAGCCCTAGCTACAAAGGTGGAGAAGGGCACCACGCGCCCAGGAGTGCCGGCCGACTCTAAGAGCCTCCAGAAGGAGCCAGCTCTGCCAACACCTGCACTTTAGCCCAGTGTAATGGATTCCGGACTTCTCACTTCCAGCTCTGTAAGAGAATAAATCTGTCTTGTTATAAACCACAGAATTTGTGGTGACTTGCCACAGCAGCCACAGAAGCTGGTACTGGGCACAACACCCGGTATCCTCCAGCTTCAGGGGGGTGTAGAGGACCTGGAGGTCCCCATGGCTTCCTGGGAAAGCACACAGAAATGGGGGGAGGGGCAGTGAAGTGAGCACCATCCGCAGCTGCTCAGCCACTGCCAGAGAAGACCACAAACATCGTTCTCCTCCTGTCCATTGTCATCAAGACCCTGAGCGCTGCCTGTAACTCAGTCTCTGCCTTCAGTCAGCCATAACCAGTCCAGTTTACTCGCCTCAAAAGTGTTCTAAAGTAACCTAAGCCTCATTATATAGTAAAATCTCCGCCCAGGGCAGGACTTCTTCGCCATTTTCTACCCACTAAAGAAAAGACGTGTAGTTTGTCTAACCGCGCCTGCGTGCCATCATTCCCTCTGTAGTCCGTGATGTTCGTATGCACTTTCTTGTGAGAGATGGTATAAAAGGCTCTGCCTCCCTTTGTTCAAGGAGCAGAACCTGAGAAACCTTCTCTTTGCTCCTTGCTCGCACACCTGCAATAAACACTCTTCCTCTCTCCTCAGCTCCGTGTACTTTGATTGACTGGAAGCTGCAGCAAGCGGGACCTCCTTAGGGTAACAGCAGGAGCTATGTGGCTGTCCAGGTGACCGCCGAGTGAAGAGACACCCTACCTGGACAGGGCCAGGGGAGACATGGCTTCCCTGTCTGAGGGGTCCCCTCTAATGGAGGGAAGAAGAGGAAAGCTGAACACCCCTCCCCAAGGGAGCCATAATTGCCCACGGGGAGACCCCAACTAGCCCACTCTTTCCCAAGAGAGCCATCATTGCCCATGGGGAGACCTCAACCAGCCAGGGACAAAGCAAGAACGGGGACTCCACCCCCCATATCAATGTTGAAAGCACAGTATAATGAAGCCACATGCCCCCACCACCCAGCTTTGACAGATGGCCACGTTTTTGCCAATCTTGTTCCATTTATTTCTCTCTTTGTTTTGTTTTAGCTTGAATATTTAAAAGCAAATCCTGGACAGGGTGTCACTTCACACCTACATACTTCGTGACATATCTCTAACGAATAAAGACTTCTTCTTAAGAAATGCAACCACCGTCAGTTGGGTGGCAATTAAGTGCCATTATCACACGTAACAAAATGAACAAGAATTCCTTAGCGTCGTGCACTAGCCCATTCACATTCAAAGTTCCCCCGGTGGTCTCAAAAGTGCACTTTTACAGTTGTTTTGTTCAAAACAGGATCCAAACAACTTCTGCAAGTTGCATCGAGTGGATGTATCTCTT